GCAGTGTCTCCCTGTCCTTTTCTCGCCTGAGGTCCCCAGGAAGTGCTCCCCACAGGGCAGGGCCACGGTGGGCACAAGGGTCCGGGGACACTTGGGGGTGGGGTCTGGGCAACCCCTTTGGGAGTGGAGTAGAGTGTCATAGTCAGCATCACATTCATGGGAAAAGCTACTGGGGAAGACATCTGATGCTATGAGAAAATGCTCAGTGTTTCCCACACAAGTGGAAACGGCCAGAGCTGTGTGTGTGTAAAAATCCTGACAGTGGGGAGGGCACTGTCCCCAGTGTGCACACACGTCTTGCGTATCTCGTGTGACTTCAATTATCTGTACACTTCTGTTTTCTGAGCTTTTAATAATGCACTTAGGGCCGGGGATTTAGCTCAGTGGTTCAGTGGCCTGCCTTGCAAGCGCAAAGACCCAAGTTCAATCCCCAGTACCAAAAAAAAAAAAGCACTTAAAAAGCAGCTTCACAGATGTGCAGACTCAGCAAAGGGCAGACTGCCAAGGCCCGAGTCTGGGTGCGAGGCCCCATGAGAATGGCCTGCAGTGTTAAGGCCGGGCTCTAGACCCTGATCTCCCCACTGCTGTGCGTTAGGAGCCATCTTATCCACTCTGTTAAAAGCTTCTCGTGGGCTGGGGATTTAGCTCAGTGGTTTGGTGGCCTGCCTCGCAAGCGCAAAGACCTGAGTTCAATCCCCAGTACCAAAAAAAAAAAAAAGCTCTTTGTGTAATTAAACTTATACTTTAATCTGTTTTAAATTACAAAACTAATCACTGTTCTTTCTAAAAATATACAAATTATCCTGAAGTGTATAATGCAGAAGGCCTGGGTCCCTGTCTGAGTTTCTGGGTGGGTTGCCTGTGTCACCCTTCCAGCACCATGCTTGGGCCCCCAGGGGCCCAGTCACAGAGCTGAGAGAGCAATATGCAGAGATCCCCCCTCCCCACGTCCACACAGGCAGGCGCAGCTCAGCACAGCTCAGCAGGGAGGAATAATTTTAAACGAATTCTCCTACTAACTCAGGCTGTTTTGGTTTTCAACTTTTTGCTATTAAAAATGACGTTGTAGCCAGGTGTGGTTATGCACACCTATAATCCTAGCACTCCGGGAGGTTGACACAGGGAGGATTATAAATTCAAACCCCACTTGAGCAATTTAGTAATTCAGTGAGACCCTGTCTCAAGAAAAAAAAAAAAGTTCTGAGGATGTAGCTCAGTAGGAAGATCCTGTGTTTAATCCCTAGTACCGTGTTAAAAAAAAAAGGTGCTATAATGAACATCTTTGGATATATATCACTTATATATGTACTTGGGGTTTTAAGGATGTATTCCTTAGAGGCCACGAGTGGTGGCCCACACTCATTCCAGTACTCTGAGAGGGTGAGGCAGGAGGATCCCAAGTTCAAGCCCAGCCCAGTCAACTCAGTGAGACCCTGGGCAGCGTAGCAAGACTGGTCCCCTGACCCATAAGAAATCTGATCATGAGCTGATAAGGCTAGCCGAAACTCATTACAATCATGTTTTGGGGCACTCAGTCCCACTAACTGATAGGTGTATTGGGTATAATTTCATTATCTGGTGAATATTTGTTTTTTATGCACTTTTGAAGGAGTTGAGGGATTGGGGTTCCCTGTACTGTCTGAAAACCAATCTTAGCTTTAAAACTACTTTTAGTTTACTTGTGAAGGAGACCAGTAAAAAGAGTTCCCAATGCATTTTTTTTTACACAAACACATTAGATGATTAATTAAATTAATAAAAAATACCCTTATAAGTACCACTTGGAAAAGTAGGGAAAAAAATTAACAAGAGAAAACATGGCTTGTTCCTTTTTCTACAGTTTAGAAAAGTCTCTGTCTTTTAAAATGAAGCATCAAGCATTGAACACAGGATCTCTACATGCCAGGTGAGTGCTCTACCACTGAGCTGCATCCCTAGCCCTTTTACTTTTTTTTTTTTGGTACCAGGGATCGAACTTGGGTCCTTGCGCTTGCAAGGCAGGCAGCAGAACCACTGAGCTAAATCCCCGGCGCGCTTTTAAATTTTAATCTGAGACAGTGTCTTGCTAAATTTCCCAGGCTGGCCTTGAATTTGCAATCCTCTTACCTCAACCTCCCGAGTAGCTGGGATTACAGGCTTTGACAAAGATCTAAATGATGTAAAGAAAAAGGTACTTCAAGTCCCCCAGTCCTAGGGCTGGGGCTACCCCCAAGTATATAGGCAACACAGATGTGAAGGAGCCTTGCTTTCAACCACAGCACGACAGCTTGTCACTTTAAGCTGCACAAACAAGTCTGTTTCCACATACTTGGCAGATGCAGAGGAAAACAACGACTTACCCAGTGAACAGCTTTTTCCTGCCTGCCTCCGTGTGGCCCTACAGGACCTCCAGGCTAATTCCATGTGCCGTGCCCTGAGTAGGTGGGAGCTCTGAGGCAGAGCCAATGCGCCCATGGAGAAGCACAGAGGACTGGTATTTGTGCTGACCTGGGAGTGGCAGGCATGGTGCTCAGAACAATCCCAGCTGACAGTCCACACACCATGGGAGCTTTCCTGTCCCCCTGCCTATGCCTGGGAAGCTGGCCCACACTGACGCCTGGGAAGGAAAGCTAATCCTTTGGGAAAGCATCAAACTCTTTTTTTTTTTTTTTTTTTTGCAGGATTGAAGATTCAACCCAGGACCTACCTTCATTTCTGCACAGGGTCTCACTAAGTTGCTAAGTTGCTCAGGCTGGGCTCGAACTTGTGATTCTCCTGTCTCAGCCTCCCAGAATGCTATAGTTGTGGGTCATTTTTAAGTTTAAGAGGAATGTGCTTTGGATCATCTATGTGGTTCCCCACTTCACCACATATAGAAGAGTGGTCCAGTTTCAAGGACTTCAAGAGAAGCTGCTCATTAGCAGTCTAAGAAATCAACCCCACTGCCAGCAGCTGCCACTGCAGCCAGAGAGGACAGAAGAACATCAGATCTCTCAGTCACCTGATCTCATCTGCCGTGAGCACGAGACAGTCTCAGGAAACCAAACTTCCGTTAATGTTAAACTAATGCTAAGCCAAACTTCCATTTCACTTCTAAACAGGCCACACCAAGGTTCTAAAGGACAACTCTGTCTACCACCCTGGGCTCTAACTCCCTCCCAGTACTTGCTCATTTCCGTGGGTAGCTCTTGTTTACTGCATACACATTCCAGGATTTGGGTCTCTTTCCTTTCTTACCCAGAAGGGCCCAGTGATCCGAAAAGGGCACTTTCCTCTGCATGGCGACAACGCAGCTACAGTCACCTGAAGGTAAGCGAGGCGAGCCCAACTTGTTAGATCCTGCACTAGCTGACCACAGCCCAAGTCACAGTCCTGAGTGACGCTGGGGTTGTTCATGTGTGGCATAGGCAACTATCATTCTGTAAGGCTGGGTTGGGGTCAGCCAGGCTTTCATCATGAGCATTTTCTTATGTGACTAATTAATTTTAAACTTAAAGATTTTTTTGTTTTCTGCAGTACTGGGGACAGAACCCAAGGCTGCATGCACACCATGCAAGTGTTCCAGTACTGAGCTACACCCCTAGTACTTTGTAAAAGTTTACTGAGAAAGGTCTTGCTAAGTTATCCAGGCTGGCCTTGAACTTGTGATCCTCCTGCCTCATCCTCTTGAGTAACTTCAAGCTTAATTTTTAAATAGTTCCAATGTTATCTCACCAAATATTTCATAACTTTTTAACTATTTGACCTCTGCTGGCCATTTAAGTGGATCCCAATTTTCACTATTATAAATAACACAGAGACTATCTCAGCAAATTAGTTACTGGGCCAAAGGGAGCAGCTGCTTAAGGCTTCAGATATTCATTATCCAAGGGCCTTCCAAAAAGTCAGGCCATTTTATACTCTTAGATTCATCTAAAAAAAAAAGAGATCTCCTGTCCCTTGTTGGCAGAGGGACTGACAGAACATTACTACTGGCCTTGGATGCCGACAATGATTATCTCGCATTTTTATTGACAAAAATCTGTATTCACTATGGGGATAGAAGAATGCGGGAGAAAACTGTAAAACAGAATCCAAATGCTTTCCACAGAAGTTACTTAGTCATCTAGTTTGATACACAATTAAGAATAAGCTACAATTTAAAATTATTATTATGAAGTTAAAGGGAGGTTTGGGGCTGGGGATTTAGCTCAGTGGTCCCACGCCTGCCTCACAAGTGCAAGGTTCTGAGTTCAATTCTTGGTACTGGGGGAAAAAAAAAAGAGGAAGGTTTTCTAAGATGTGCTTTAGACTTATGAAAATTTAAACATGAGTCTGTGCAGAGACAGACACCAAAGACCCAATGATAAAATAACTCTTGTGCTGCCCCAGGGGAGGGCCAAGGACTATGACCAGGACACATCTGGGGCTGGAATCTGTAGCCACAGAGCTGCTGAGTCCCCAGGACACATCTCAAGCTGTGGCTGGCAGATGAGATCGAAAGGCAGTCTTGCCAAACAAGCCCGAGTGCTGGGTCACCACGCATGGCTCTTGGAGTCCAGGCTCCGCGTGCCCCTTCATGGGGGTCGAGGGACCTTGCTGGGGAGGACGAAGTGACAAATGTGACTCCGGGAGCCCCGGAGAGGCAGCTTTCCTTAGTCTCTCTTCTGAGAAGACAAGAGAGAGGAGGAGCACACCCCGCTGGGTGTCCTAACTGCTGACATCCTCATCATGACAGCGACGTGGTGCCACCCTCCAACAGCCGCCAGTGCCATGTGACAGCAGCTGCAGAGCCCAGAGGCAAGGCTAGCAGTGGCCGCAGAAGCCCCCTAGAGAGCTGGCCGTCAGCTTGGGATGCAGCCTCCACCTGGGCTAGTGGGGTCTCCATGACAGAGGACAAGTTTTGAGTGCAAGGAGCAGAGGGGTCAGCATGAGGCCAGTGTTAGGGCCACGTGGGGAAAGAGGAAGAGCTGAGAGTGAGGCTCCGGCCCTGGGTGCTGGCCCGCTTCATGGGGTCCCACCGAGCCCGCACCAGGACGCACCTTCATGACAGGCTGGGCAAAGTACCGGGCACTCCAGTCACAGAACCCCGTCTGCATCGTGGCACAGATGAAGCTTTTGTGTCCAGCAGCATCGTCTGCATCATCCGTAGTCTTCCAGGTGTCGAGGAGGGGGAAGGTCAGAAGAAAAGAGGAAACCAAGTCTTATTCCCTTCCTTCTCTGTGTGATTCAAAGAGGCCCTGATGGGGACTGAGGTGGTGCTGAGCGCAGGCTGCTCCTCACCCGGGCCTCCTCATGACCAAGCAGGCCCGCACATCTGGATGGGGGCTGAGTGGCAAGGGTGAAGCAGTGCGGCCCGCATCTGTCTACTGTTCCTGGGCCAGCCCAGTGTGGCCTGGCCAGCACAGCTGCAGTCACCCGCTATGCTGAGTCCCACTGCTGGTGTGGACAGGCCCACATGTGCAGCTCCTCAAGGCTGCGTGCCCCTGCCACCTGGCACAGGCTGCCCCTCTGACAGCCACACAGACACCAGCTGGGCAAACATCCAAGCCTAAGTCAACTGGGGCCTAACTGCTTAAAATGCTGGAAGCTGCTATGTGGACAGTGGCCATTCCCACCTGGGTGGCCCCTGGGTGCCACGGTCAGTGTTTGCCTTGTTTTACCCAGCTGGGCCCCAGAAGTACCCATGTCAAGTGCTTCGAGGTGGGCCAAAGGCTTCTCAAACCAAATCCTGGCAGAGGGGGCATCCTATCACCCAGGGGACAAGAGAAGGGCTCAGCTCCCACTGGAAGCTGCAGATTTGGCTCTGCAGGAGTGTGGGGACCACCCACGTCTGTGCCAGTTGTGCTGCTTCCCGAGACCACAGACCCTTACACCCCAGGAAGACTCCCCATCAGGACCCAGGCAGGAGGCCACCTGGACCTGGAGCTCACTGGCCACTAAGGCCTTCAGAGGCAGGGCAGCTCAGGGCTGACCAGTGCATGGAAACCTGCCTTGGTACTGCTGTGTGGGCCCCGCTGGTTACCCACATGGCAAACCTTGCCTGGAGTTAGCCCCCAAAGTGGCTGGGACTCCATTCTGCTAACTGGTAACCAGTAAACCAGGGCATCCCTCCAGTGTGGAGAGATGCTCACTGCTCCTGGCGAGGCAGCCAGATGCCCTCAGTTGGGCCCAACGATCTTCTTTAGACCTTGTGTCCTTGAAAGAGAAAGATACAAGCTCCCAGGACAATACAGGAGGCCCCGGGTTCAGCATACCTGGCCTCGCTCTCGAACTCTGGAGGGAGAGCACAGCTCTCTCCTTCCTGGAATTTCCTTTCCCACTCAGCTGAAGGCAAAGAGAGTGTGCTTATTTGTATGGACTAATTGAATGTTTATGGGAAAAAACAAACAATCCATTCAGAATAAACACTCTGTGGAGCAGCTGCCACCTCAAGCTGATGCAAAATGAATTTTACCCAAGAAAGGAAAAAACCAAATTAATCCCATGTGCTTAATTTGTCACACAGCGTTGCCAAGACCAGTGGGCCAGGACAAGCTGCATGATAGGAAGTGCCGTGATTGGGTGGGACCAGCCAGCCAGCAGGCAGGGGAGTAGATTGAGGGGTCAATGCCCACCCTGGTTGGGTCGACAAAGGCAGTCGTCAGGTGGGGCCAAGGAAGTGTGAGGACCCAAACGTGAGGCCTCGGCCTCACACAAGGGGAACCACACCCTCAGTACCAACCACTGCATTCAGTGCCCTTGAGTCATAAGGAGGGCAGAAGGGGCTGCATCTGTGTACCTGATCAGGGCCCTTGTCGAACATCTTCCGTGTCCGGGGGAACTGGTGGGAGTGAGGGGTGTACTGCGCCCCTGTGGGGCCTGTGGGGCCCGGGCGTCCAGGAGGCAGGTCACGGCTGACTGGCTGCTTGGCCACGTCATTGGTCAGACTGCAGCTGCTGGTACTGGATGCTGGTGGGGAACCTCTGTGGGGAGAAGAGCAGATAGCAGACCTTACCGTGGGTCCCTCACTTGGGGATGAGACACTGACCCCCTTCCCTAGGTGCTGTTAGCAGACCCAGGAACATCCTCAACCACTGATATGTTAATGTGACTTCCAGATGCTGGCTGCTGTGATCCCTTGGACCCTACATCCCAGGAGGCAGTGAGGACTAATTGGGCTCAGGGCAGATGCCAGGGGGAGCTCAGACTGAGGGTGCACAGTCATGTTCAGTTTCTAGGACAGAGAAGGACTCTTGGAAGGCCTCAGACTACATGAACATGGGTATGCACGGAAGGGGACACAGACACAGAGAAAGAGAGGGAGGGAGGGAGTGGAAAACAGGATAACAAGGTGGAAGAAGGAGCTGAGCAGCAACAGGAGGCAGGTGTCTGGGACTGTCCAACAAGGACTGCTGAGGGGAGGCTGGCGCCAGGCCACTCACCCCACTTGGTGGATGTGCATGCCCTTGTTGGTTGGGCTGGCTGGGGCCGACTGCGTCAGAGAGGAGGTGTCAAGGATGCGCTGAGGTCGGGCATTCACTGTGGCCTAAAGGGGCAAAGAACAAGTGACACAGGAGGTCAAGAGACAGGATCAAGAGTCTGATGGCTGCTTTTGCATAGTTTCAAAATGGCAGAACAGGCTTGTAGGCTGAGGATATCTCAAACACCAACAGGAACACTTCCTGCTAGATTGTCAGCAACACTATGCTCCCAGATGGTCCTGGGCCTTCTGCTGCCAGCACGTAGAGGGGGCTGGCGGGGCCTCTGCGTACTGAGTCCTAGAGGCTGTGCACTCCGTAGGGGCCAGGTGAGGCGGAGAGTCCTCCTCCAAACCAGGAAGATGGCACGGTGGCTCTTTACTCTTTATAGCCACTGATTCCTCCACCAGGGACAGACTGTGAGAGCTGGTGGGTGCCAGGTTGCCTTCTAGAAGTCCGGAAAGCACATGAACCAGAGACAGAACCTCAGCCTTGGGAAGCTGCTCTTCTGGGGGACCCGCCCTGCCTTCATGTTCCTAAATTATTACACTGTCCCGTAATTCAGCCACCAGAGAGAAAGTCAAAGAGAACACACCACTATGAAAGTCTTTACTTAAATACACAGCATGAATGCTTTCTAGGAAACCCTGGCTTCAAGTTGGAAAGGGCAAGAAAAAAACAGCCAAACTGGTCTTCAAACAATATTTCTTATTTTTTAATTACAAGGGAAATACATGTTCTTGGTGAACTTGTTTTTGCTTTGGTATTTAAATCATTCAGCCAATTCTACAGGCACAAACCTCCCACAAAATGTGACAGACATATGATTCCTCAAGTCTAAAAGAGAAAAATTTAAGTTTAATATGTACCTTCTCAAAACTTCTGGAGAAAGAGTGGGAGGTGATGAAGAAGTCATCAGAGAGCTTTAGGGGTTGAAATGCAGACTCCACAGAACCCACCACCCTCTCTCAAGCTCAGGGCACAGGACCTATGCTGCGGCAGTGACTCAGGAGTCAGTGCCTTGCAGCCTCAGGCATCTCTCCGCCTGCTGCCACCACAGTCACGGCCGCCTCCATGATTCACAGAAGCCCCTTGGAGAAAATGAGCAGGAGTCCAGCTCCTAACTCACTGCTGCACACAGCCCGCCTCACATCGAGATGCAGTTTATACCCATGGCTGCTACCATAAGTCATTTTGTTCATTCTCAGACATTCTGACCTGCAAAGGACTAGGGAGAATTTCACGAGTGTGGATGCAGCTCCTTGAGATGAGCTGTTTCAGTCTGCTGACACTTCCCCAGTGTTGGCTGTGTGGTAGGGGGCTCACGGTGAGCCTGAGCACAGTGTCACTTAGCAAGAGGATCAGGAAGGCTGGTGTCACTATGAGGACTGGGGACACTGGGCAGGAGATTGGAGCAGGCTCAAGGACAGGCTTTCCTGCATGGTCCCTGTCATGTACCAAGTACTTGCTGGGCAAGCTTAACGGAACACTCATTAGAGGTTGGGTTTGGGGACACAGACTTCGGAGGACAGCATGCTGCACAAGACCAGGGACCCGGACCTCATTCCAGCCCTTCCTGATCATGTTCGCCCCGTCGCTGTCACCTGGCACCGAGCATACACAGAATCACCAGACACACAGACTGGCTCACAGCTACCTGCCCCTCCAGAAAGGTCTGAGGACATGCCCTCCAGGGGGTCTGAGCCTTCAAGAGCAAGGGTAGCAGGAGGGGTGAGGACATGGCATCAGGCCAGCTCTTCATGGTGGCAAGCATGACTTTGCTGAAATAGAATTTCTGGCTGGATACTTAGCTCAGTGTGAACATAAAATTCCTCAAAGATGGAGAAAACACATAAGTGCACAGACATCTCAGCCACATTTGGGTGTCTCTGGAGCCTTTGGGTGCAGTGCGCATACTGTTTTCGGTTCTACAGATGGACCCTCACAGGACCCAGAGTCCCACCCAATACAGAGAAGAACTCCAGGAAGGAACCTCAGGGTGGTCTCCCTCGTAGGCCGCTGGCTACCTGTCTAGGAGGGGTAGTGCATTCCAGAAACATGCCAATTACTCTCATATCAGGGGTCTGAAACTAGGTGTGGGAAGCGGCACTGAGCAAAGCTCACTGTTGCCTGATCACCGAGAAGAAACAACTAATATCTAGAAATTGTATTTCCAAAAGAAATGTTTGCTTCACTTATTTCAGAAATTCAGAAAAACCCCTTGTCAGGGAACTAGAAGCACCACAGTTCCCGTAGGAACAGCTTCCCGGGGGCTGCTCCAGAGCCAGAACAGATCTCCAGGGGGCCTGAGCGTCTCAGTCTAGAGAGTCTCTCCAGCAGAGGTTTCTGAGTGTTAATTCCACATGACAACGTGATTTTAAAAAGACGTATCTGTAAGGAACTTGTACTATGATGGTGGGAAGCTGTGTGTTAAGGACTGGTTACACGGAACTACTGACCATGCTTTTCTGAGCATCTCAATCTTGATTTCAGTGGTCACTCAGGGCTTTGGTCTCTAAATGAACATTTCACCATTGGTTAAGAACAGTACTATCTAAGCCGGGTGTGGTGGCACACGCCTGTAATCCCAGCACTCAGGAGGCTGAGGCAGGAGGGTCGCTATGAGTTCAAGACCAGCCTGGGCTACATAGTGAGTTCCAGGGCAGTCTCAACTACATAGTGAGATCCTGTCTCAAAAAAACAAAAAAACAAAAACAAAAACAAAAACAAAAGAACAGTACTGTCTAGTATCCAGTGTGCCTGGTCTGCACAAGTCTCACTGTAGAAGCAGCAACACTATTTTTAGGTGAGTTTATATGTCTGTGCATTTAGATTTCCTCACAACTACTAAAATGAGAAGTGACTGTGAACCCTGACATCTGAACATCTGGCTTAGAAATGCAATCCCTTCCACATTCTCTTCAAAGCTCAGCAGCAGGAGGGGTTATGAGGTAAGAGCTGCCAAGGCCACAAGTATTTCCTCAGGGTTGTTACTCTCTTCCTACCACACTTCTGTGCAGTTTGAGATTACCCATAGTGAAGACTAAGAGCACAATGTAAACTCCAAGGATTTACAAACGTGAAATTAGACCGTAGCTGTTGAGCTATAAGGGTTCATTCTTACATGGCTAGTAGCAACTCTATACAGTATTTGAATGGAGAATTCTAAGGTGCGTTCCACAATAATAAGGCTTTTTTGACTCTGATGAACAAATTTGGCTTCAGAGTTAACCTAAAACAGGCTCACTTCTTTATATTATGAAATATGACCTCCTTAGTTCCTAGAGCACAAAGTAAGGGATTTCTTGAAATTAAAATGAAGACAAGAAAGGATTCCCTTGGTCTGGGGATTTAGTTCAGTGGTGCTGCTACCTGCCTCATAAGCGCAAGGACCCAGGTTCAATCCCTGGTACCAAAAAAAAAAAGAAAGAAAGGATTCCCTTAATGTAATGTTTATGCTTCCAAATCTTTCAGTAGCA